GCCAATAGCATCGCGACATCAAACGCGAGGGTGCCACTCGGCGGCAGCGTCCACGCGAAGAAGAGGTAGGAGGCCCCGAATCTGATAAAGTTCACGACGAGCGGAGCGCCGCGGCGTAGAGGGAGAGGAGCCGGCGAACTCGATACTTAAGATTGAAGAGTTCTGAGACCCCCGCGGCGGATAAGGGCGTTCCAAAGTACATGGCCAACCGACGCGCGCAGGAATGCCGCGCTGCAGCGGCCTCCCCTGAGCACCTCCTCCAGGGTGAAACGAAGACGCCAGATGTTTCTGTGGCGCGCCGACAGTGAGCGTCCATGTCGCAGGCTGAGCCCAAAACACTCAACGTCCTCGGACGCCGACTCGAGCTCGTGGACAGCACGGCCAAGAGACTTCAAACGTCATGAAATTCGCTGAAGCCTCTCGCTCGCACTTTTAGAGTTTTAGATGACATGCGTAGGGTAAAGAAGTTGTCGGCGCAGGCTGCGGCACCAGTGGGCGAGGGGCACTTCGGGGAGAGGCCAGGCCTCCCATCTTCGACCAAATCCGAGCCCTCGAACCCAGCATCCTGAACGACGTGACGGACAACACCCCGGCAGATCTCTGAACCCCGTCGGCATGGCCCGCAGACGAAGCACCCCGGAGGCGCCTGGCACTCCGAGAGACTCGAGAACCCCAGCATCGACCCAGGGCAGGGACAACTGGTCAGACATGTCCGAGGGAACCTCCGTGTTGTAGAACGCGGTTTCAAGGTCAACTGGAGCGATGTGGCACTTTCCGAGGGGAACCTCAAGGCCGGCGGTTGCACTCGGCGTAGGCAGACGGGTACTGGGCGGAGACCTAAAGGAGCAATTCTCTTCCTGGGCATCGAAGATCAATCTTCGTTGGCCCCTTCTCCCGGACGAAAACAACACCCATGGCTCCTCATCGGGCCCGGGCACGTCGGCGCGAGAGCATGCCCCGAAGATGGGCGCCCCGTGAATTAAAACTTTGCGAACTCAAGAGTGTTGGAGGAGAGGAGAGGGTCGACGCATGCCCAGCGGGGGGAGACCTTCTGTCGCAGGGTCTCCGCCCCAGCCGGGGGCCTCGGCCAATTCCCTCGCCAATCCATAAACGAAGACGCATCGGCCGGGGACGCCATGTCCAGAAAAGGCACAGGTCTACAGTCCCGGGAAGACCAGGAAACGCGCTCACAAGAGCAAGGAACGACAGGACCATAATCGGAGGCGTCAATAGTGGTCTCGGACAGGAGCTCGCCGAGGGCCCCCTGTGCTAAATCGGGGTCCTCCAGGGGTCGATCAAGGCCCCAGTGAGACTCCTGGATGCGTCGCAACGCCTGCTCCTGACTCGCATCGGGCGAGGTAGCCTGGGCACGCGCACCGCATAGATCGCTCAAAACAGCAACTCTGTCCGCGGCCCAGGCGCCAGCGTGCCCCAAGCACCCGCGGCGCCTCCGCACTCGCCGGCTGGGCTGGGCCGCGCTGACAACGCTTTGCTTGAACTGGGGGAGCGGCAAGGGAAAAAGGCCCCGCTGCACCCGTCGGGAATAAAGGCCGGGCGGCCCACCGGGAGCAGGAAACGGGCCCTGCTGGGAGGGGAGGGGAGGGGCCTGAAACTCTCCTCCCACGAAGCGCTCATTTCTTCTTGGGCTCTGCCTTGGGTGCCGCCTCCTGCTGGGAGCGACCGTTGGCGAGGGCCCTCTCTTCACGGGCTTTGCGTCGTTCTTTGGCGATGGCTGGCTCGTGGAAGATCTGCTGAGACCCAAGTCTGGAGGTCGGGGCAGATGCGCAGGTCCCCGCGAACCTTCCCTGAGCCCATGAACAAGTGACGATCTCCACAACTCTGCTCGGGGCTGGCGGCGGTCTGCTTATAACGCTCTTCCTGAACGCGGAGGTCCCTGCACACAACCTCCAGGCAGGCCTGATTCGGAACGTTCAACTGATCAAACACGGCAGCGCGTTCTTCCACCCCGGTCGGAGTCCGGCAGGCCTGCCTCCTGTCGCCAGCGGACGCGACGTCCCATGGGCGTCATGCTATTCTCGGCGATGAATTGGCAGCACCAGAGGGCGGCGCGAGGCCCCGTCAGAGGCCAGTCGGGCCACGGGTCCTGGGTCATCTGCAGCACTGCCTCTCTGAAAGCACAATGCCGCTGCCCCAGCTGGTCCCGGGTGATCGGGAGGACCCGAGCGCCTGGCAGCGGGGCCGCCAGCACAGGTGCCGGCGGGGCTCCTGCTACGAGAGCGCCAGGAGCCACGAGGGCCCCTTTCCCGGCAGCGAGCCCCGCGGGGGGCACAGCTCCCGGGGCCGTGGGAGCCCCTGGAGCCAGTCCCCCAGGGGGGGGCTACGAGGGGAGCCCCCCCATGGGCCAGGGCGGCCGCAAGGCCCGCGAGGCCGCCCACTGCCGGGCCGCCGCCGCCCAGGGCCGCAACCAGGGGCGCCAAGGCCCTTCCGGGCGTGCCGAGGGCAGCACCTGGGACCTGCTCGAGCCAGGGCGGCGGGCGTTGCGGCTGGGCCTCCAACCCCTGCACGCCCAACATTCACGGCGAAGCGAGGACAAGCCACCGCATTCAGGCGGGCCGCTGCCGGCGCCCGAGCAGCCGCAAAGGCGGGCAGCAGCGGCAAGGTCCGAAAACCGTGCACTCGCTGCCCGGCAAGATGAGCCAGCAGGCCACCGCCAGCCGAGTTGCCGACTAGTGGAGTCCAAGCTGCTATGTCACCGCCGCCGGGCACCAAGTCCTCCTCGTAGCAATCACCCTCGGGAGTGTAGACGGAGAACGTGTGAGGAGGCTGGCTGGGGATCAGGAGGACACACCGCTCATGCCACAACGGCTGGCCCGCGACAAGGTACTACACTGCTACGAAGTCCCCTTCGCAGATGCCCGCGGCCGTCAGTGCGGCCCGCGAGCGGCGGGGCTGCGGGCCCGCCCGGCTGGGCGGCCGGCGCGGCCATGGCTAACGGCCCCGGGCCGCGGCTGCGCACCTCTCACGCACCGCCGCCGCCTGGGCCCGCGCCTCAGTCGCGAAGTTCTCCTCCACCTCGGCGGCGGGGAGGTGTGGCCCACGTGTGGCCACTCCAGCCGACCCACCGCCTCGGGCACAGGCGAGGGCGAGCGCGGCCCCGAGCCCTGCTCGCCTGCCCCAGCGGACCGCTGCGGGTACGACAACGCCGGCAGCAGCCGGCCCGCAAGGAACCCGATGGAGCCGCCCAGCGCCAGCCTCGTGGAGAGGAAACCCACGGGGGGATGATGCCCCCGCGGGGCACTGGCAGTCTCTGCAGCGAAGCGACGGAAGCGCGGGGAGATCGGGGAAGTGATTCTCGGGACAGACAGGGCAAACTGCTGCTAGATTGGCGGTGTTGTAGTGGATACCTACGAAAATGGAATCCTTCATACCTGCCCACCAAATGTAGCGCATCTGGAGAAATGAGAGCTTGAGCCGACACAAGTACGGCCCTTTGTGCGCTTCTACACATGCTTCACCATATGAAAGTGTCCCATGTATGTGCGTAGTTCTGCTGGTCCTCGTCCGTTGATTTATGCTCCTTTCCTCATTCTCTCCTCAGGCGCTTTCGGGGGTTGGAGTGAGCAGGCCCTGGCATTAGCGCAGCTCGAGGGCACACAAACATTCATTGGCGGCACGAAGATGCCGCCGACGAGCTGAGTCGGTTTGTCCTCCTGGTCGCCATGAATTCCCTCGGGCCTCCCCTCGCACTCAAATGCCCTGCGGTCGCGGCTATAGGCCCAAGTGGTCGAAGTCTCGCAACTGGGAGCTTTCTAGTCCCGCGGGGCGCCTTCGTGCTACTGCGGGCCTGAGGTCCTGCAGGCTTGCCCGATGTGCGCACTGAAGTTACCGACAACACAGTGTCACGGCTACGGCTCTCACCCAGCAGTGGTGAGCCGACATTGCACGAAACAGCCGCTGCCCAGGTCTTGCCTTGCCTTGCCAACTCCTCCTCCTCCTCCTCCTCCTTCAGCCCTTCCTCCTCCTCCTCCTTCTCCTTCTCCTTCTCCTCCTCCTCCTCCTCCTCCTCCTCCTCTTCCTCATATCTCAATCGCCTCCTGGTCCCTCATCCCCTCCTGCCCTCTTCCCCTCCTTCCGTCTGCGCCTCCCTCTCCCCCTCCTCCCCCCACTCCCTTCAAAAGGACCAGAAAAACCACACGGACGCCGACGATGAGGGCGACGGCGACGGTGACGGCGACAGCCACGACGACGACCGCGATGGTGACGACGACGATCGCGACGACGACAACGGCCACGCCGCGTGGACGTTAACGGGGGGGCAGTAAACGAGGGACGATCGAGGCACTGCCACCGTGGCCCTGGAAAGTGGGGAAAAGTGCGACTGTCTCCCCCCTCGACTCGTTAATTTCACCCCAGTTGCAGTCCACCCGGCCCCTGGAGCTCGCGGCCCCGCTGAGCCCGAAGCGAGGGTCATTTTCTGAGGGCCCCGCTGGGCCCGAAGCGAGCCTGCAGAAGCCGAGATCGTGAGAAGACGCCCTTCACAAAGGGGCTTCCTGCTGAACTGAATTGACGTCTGAGCCCCATTCGGCCGCAGAGTGGGCAACCGAGTGAACTCAACTCCTGCGTGGCTCGGCCACCGACTGGGCTCGATCCTGGGCCCGCTCGGCAAGATGCGCTCAGGTGCCGAATGCGCTCAGAAGAAAACCCTGAGGCAGTGATCCCAATGATCCGATGTATCTCTTACCAAGTCCCGCTCCTTTCCCCAGGGCCAGACTTGCATCCTGGGTTGTCTCTCCCGGTCCCGACGCCCAGCGATGGCCCCAAGAGGCTTAAACTGTACGAAGAAACTCCGCATTGACTTCTTCACTGCGTTGGAAGTCTGGGACGACCGCGCGGACGGCCTGTGAACCGGCTGCGTCCGGGCGGCGGGGCCAACGGATGCCTCTGACTGGCGGCGGGCAGCGGCGGTGGCGGCGGCTGGCACGGCCGCGGCGACTAACCGCGGCGTCCAGCGACGGCAGGCGGCGGCCACTGCGAGACGCCTCGCCCAGCGCCATACGCCTCGCGGGCGCCGCGCGCCCGGCGGCCTCGCGGGCGCCGCCGCTGCGCGGCGGCAGTGGGTCCGCCTGTAGCCTCCGCGCGCCCCGATGGGCGGCCGCCCCACCCGCTAGCTGACACGACGACGACGACGACGACGACGACGACGACGACGACGACGACGACGACGACGACGACGACGACGACGACGACGACGACGACGACGACGACGACGACTGCGATGCTGGCGGCTGCGGCGGCGCGATCGCGCGTGCCGCGACGCGGGCGCCGACGACATACCCGAGAGCCAGGGGCCGGCCACCGCCGAGGCCCGCGCTGGAAGCGGCGCTGCCGCCCAGGGGGGCCGCGCACCAGCGCGCGGAATGCCCGCTCGTCTTCATCTGCCCTGGGGGGCGGCAGGGGGGGAGTCGAAAGCGGGTTTCCCCTGCCGTCGTCGTCGCCGCCGGCTTACGAGAAGCCTGCCGGAACCTCCCAGGGCCTCTTCGAGGCCGTGGGAGGGGGAGCGGGCGGAGCAGGAGCAGGAGGTCCAGGAGGGACGGGGGGGGCAGGGAGAGGAAAAAACGGGTAGGAGGCAGGTGACGACAACAGGGTGATAGAGACGGATGATGGGGGGCAAGCGAGAAGAAGGAGCCCAGCGTAGAAGGAGGAGCAGGAGGATAAGTAGGAGGAGGGGAGGAGGAGGAGGAGGAGGAGGAGGAGGAGGAGGAGGAGGAGGAAAAGGAGGTGAAGAGAAGAAGGAGGAGGACGAGGAGGAGGAGGAGAGGAGGAGGAGGGGGAGGGGGAGGAGGAGGATGAGGAGGAGGAGGGGGGGGAGGAGGAGGAGGGGAGGAGGAGGAGGAGGAGGAGGAGGAGGAGGAGGAGGAGAAGGAGGAGGAGGAGGAGGAGGAGGAGGAGCATCAGGAGGACGACCAGGAGGGAGCGAGGACAACGATAACGACGACGATGACGAGGATACTGAGAACGAGGAGGAGAAGGATGTTGACGAGGGGGGAGCAGCGCGGAGGAGAGGAAGGAGGAAAGCGAGGAGGGGAGGAGGCCGTGGATACAGAAAAGGAGGAGGGAGGATGAGATGAGAGAGGAAGGCGCAGCTACGCCGAGGGAGGAGGGTAAAAAGAAGGGGGAGGAGGTGGAGACCAGATCACCCAAGAAGAGACGAGGCGAGCGGCCACGAGCAAGAGACGAGAAGACGGCTGCATCAGTCCAAGTCTTGTTCTCTGATGTTGGTTGCGGGTGCAACAGAAACAAGCATGCGGATGTGTGAGCTTCGTAGACATATGGCCCGAACTTTTCCGCGCACGCACTCGCGAGCAAACCTGCGCCCGCCCTCCCCTGTGGAGCGGCAGCGGTTGAAATCAGAGAGAATCGAGTCGATGGCAACGGCTGAGGGAATCAACTGGGGTCGGAAATGAAATTGGGGGATGAAACAAGCTGACAGGCACCGATCAAACCATTGAGAGGCGAGGTGGGGAAGCAGGGCACGGACCACCAGCAAAACCGCGGGGCACTTCAGATATTGACAGATTGGGTCACTTCCAAGAATCTGGCAAACAAAATAAACGGACCACGACTCTGTTTGAAATGGCGGGTGGTGGGCAACCCTTTTTACCAGGGTCCTGATCCAGCCAATAATAACACGCCCAGGAAGTATCCTAGCGGCCATACTGATTCGAATTGCACGATGCACGGATTGGGCCTCAGAGGCGTGGGTCTGGCCGCATAAGAAGAATCGACGAAGTGGCGATATTACAGCTGGGGGGTTTCATTCGTGCTTCATTACGCACTTGATAATCTCACGCGGGACAGTCGGGATAGACCCAATCGGGTCGTAGATGCGCTTGAGACGCGTGAAGATGCGAAGCGAGTGTTGAGCTGGTAGGTAAGAGGACCTCATCCAATCGGAACGGACACGACGCAATTGCAACGCTGCACGTGGCCGCGCGGACTGTGAATTCGAAGCTGTGGGCCCAAACCTCGAGCTCGACTCCGTCGGTGGGTCGCGAAATAACTCGCGCGGAACAGCTCGCCTCGGGCCGCGCGACAATCTCTGGAGACAACCTGTTTCCAGTTGCAGCGTGCGTTTAAACACAGAATGCAACTGGCACGGGTAGGAGGGGAGCGGAAGGTCGCTGCTGTTATACATGGCGGGGAGGTGATGGGCGTATTCGCCGATCGCGCCGTCGCGCGGAGCTGCCGCGGCGACCGCGCCAAACGCCACAAACGCCTCCGACAGGACCTGGCACGACGCGCAGGCAGCCGGCGACGTGGGCGCCGAGCTCGAGCCGAGCGCCCCGGCCTCCTGCCGCCTCGCGCCCCCGGGCGAAGGCCCCCCCGGCGGCGAGGAGAACGGGGGCGACTTGCACGGCGACGGACGGCGCCACGCGGACGTTTTCGTCCCGCGCTGGCGCAATGGCATGCCCGCGGCCTTGGACTTTGCCGTCACCAGCGGGCTCCGCGCGGACGCGCTGGCGGCTTCGGCCGATCGCGGCGGCGGCGGAGCGCTACGAGGAGCGCAAGCGCCTCCACCAGGACACCCAGCGCCGCTGCTCCGAGGAAGGCCTCCTTTTCACACAAACGGTATGCGAGGCGCACGGCGGCGGATGGGGGCGGGAGGCGCGCCGCGCTTTCGCGGCCCTTGCCGAGCGGCTCGCCGACGCCTCAGGAGAGGACGCCGCACTCGCGGCGGCGCAGCTTGCCCAGCGGCACTCCGTCTTCTGCACAGGGAGAACGCGCGGGCAGTGCTGCGTCGCCTCGAGTCGCGACCGGGCGCGACGCCGGCGCGCCTGGCGGCCGGGACCGCGGCGTCGACGGCTGACGCCGCGCGAGCGGTGAGAAACGCTCGCCGCCGCGGCACAGGCGCGGCCGCATTTCCCCAGGCCGCCCTTGGGCCTTGACGCCCGCCGACCGCGCGGGCGCGCAGCGCCGGCCGCTGATCGGGTCGAGCGACCGCGCGAAGATGCTGCCAGCAACTGGGCAACCCCGCTTGACTCCGCGCCGGATGTTCAAAAACCGCTGCGAGTCGTTCCCCCGAAAGATATCGAAACAACCAGGTCCTCGCGCTGTGCCCTCAGAACTCCGTGATCAACGGGGGGGCCTGCGTGGCCTCGAGGGCCCACCGTATGATCTCATGGGCGAGAGACGGAAAGGCGGCGCGAAAATCTAGCAGCGCCGCGCCAAGCTCCCCCAGACAGCGCTTCAATAAATGCGAGCTGGGAATCCGCAGAGATGAATTCTCCGTGATCTGGCGGGCCCTAATAAAGCCACGCTGCCCCTGCAAGACCGACTGAGAGGCCCGTTTAGCCAGCGGGGGCTCTCGGGCAGACGATGTAAACATGTTGGACGCGCCGCTGAGTGAGAGACGGCAGGTCTCCTCGACGGGCTTCGTCTGAGCCTCGACGGAAGGGTCCACTTTCTTGGGGAGGTAGACATCGGCGCGCAATCTGAACGTCGGGGGCGTTTGACCGCGGCCAAGAAATTCCTCGCGAATGCCCCAGAGGATACGACCCGCAATAGCACCGCGGGAAGTATGAGCGGAGCACGGGGCACCGCCAGGAACAGGGCTGGAGCCGCGGAAACGCGACACCATTTCATTGAATCGGATCTGGGGGATTTTTTCCAAATATGGAGGAGCCAGCAGGTCGCGCAAACTCGCGGCATCTCTCGAACGCGGCGGGGTCGGGAGAAAAGAGCGTGGGCGCGACCCCCGTGGTAACGTAAAATTTGGGCGCGTCTGTCACGTTCAGCGCGCCTCGCCATCCCCGCCACGATTAGCGAGCGGGTGAAAGCAGCGGCGAAGAGGGGGCCAAGATCGCTCAGCCGCTGTAGCTTAACGAGTGATCGTTGCGTGGACCTCTTGGACATAGTGCCAGGGCGCAAAGGCTCTTGTTTCTCATCTTCCAAGTTAGACCAAGGATGTCCCCTCATTTTACCGCAACGCTCCAGATAACCGATCCAGCTCAGGCACTCGCGGCAGGCGAACCCACAAAACTCCAAACACACACCCAGACATTGCGCAGCCCCTTGGAAGCCCCCAGATCCCATGGCGCATTGAAGGGCAAAGCACAAGGCCGGTTTCGCAGCAGATGTGGCGGGGGCATGCCCTGCAAGCATGCGCATGGCCATCTAGGCCGCGGAGTGAACGGCATCTTCCAATACCTCCAGGCGTTCGGCAATGCGAAGAGGAGGAGCGACATCAATATCCGCCCACAAAAACACGGACAACATCTTGAAATTCAACTGCATGAGTGATCCAGGACGGCGCCCTCGGTCGCACTGGGGGGCCCTCGAGGGCAACGGGATGAGGGCACCCAGGGGCCCGGGAAGCGAACGCGGGTCAGCGGCCCGAAGGTTTTCTGAAGTCCAATAAAGTCCAGGACGCAGCTGCAGACGGTCGCGAGTCAAACAGCGGGCCAGAACGGACGTTGGAATCGATTCGATCGAAACGCGCTGCGCTGGCAATGGCGCCCTGGACAACTCTGCGATGCGAGGGCTGGGCCTGGCGAATCTCGACGAAATCGCCCCCTCGCCCCGCCCGCGCAAAAAAAAACGCGGCTGAACTGTTTCGCGCCGAATTCGGGCTGAGACGCGTTCGCTGGGAGGTTGCCGATGCGAGCGCGGGCGCCCCCCTCGTGGGCAAATTTCGAATCGCCCAGAAGCCAGACAAGAAACGCGCCCCGAGGAGGAAGGGAAAACCTGATGAGGTCCAGGAAGCCGCAATTCGCAGGGCAGGGGATGTCAGGATCGATACGGCCATTGATAATGTGCATGTCTCCGTGCGCACTACCCAAAGGTAGCGCGAGAAGGCGCCGGGGGCGCGAGGAATCACGCATGTCGCGCTCGAGCTCACCTTGAAACTCGCAGGCGGGCCGCGAGAACAATGCCGCCAGCACGCGCCTCAAGGAAGGAGCCCTCAGTTTGACGGGATGGGCACTTTCTCCCCCGCGCGGCAAGGTCACCTTCGTGGCCGGACTGAGAGGTGCGAAAACTTGACAAGATGAGGACAGCGAGGACCTGATAACGCACCAAATGGCGTGTCAATATTCCACGCGGTGGTTCTCATAGAAGATGATGGAGGGAAAGAGATGCAATGCCGACGCTGCACAGTAGGCGCAGGCTAGCACCTGGGCAAGAATGGTGCTCTGGAGGGTGCTCCCCAGGTGCCCGAAGAGGAGCACGATAAAGGTGGGCCATCCGAAGTGTCTGATCGGTTTGGTGTTCGGTCTGGGCGCCGCGGATGATCTCGGCTGCCTGCTCGACGGTCATCCAGATGTCGCTGAGCCCCTCTATGTTGGACCCGACCGCGCATTTGTCCATGGCGTCGCAGTGGGCCTAGAACAGAATACGGGCATCCTCGGCCGTGGTAGGGTGAACTCGACGCAGAAGCCATTGGAGCCCAAGACATTGCCAGCGTGCCGCAAACATGTGGCCACGATTTAATATATTTGGTGGGGTCCCGCAACTTGCCGAGTATGCGCTGCTTGGTCCTGACGGCCTCTGGGAGGTCGCTACGAACTTTGATGGGGTGGACGGTGCTGGTCCGAGGGTCGCGCCACGTGGCAGCGAAGCCCTGGGCATCCTCCTGGGACTTGAAGGGGAGGCTGTTGGACTGGCTGACTCTCACGAGCTGGGCCTCGACGGCAACCTGAAGTTGGTCTGCAAGGACGGCATGACGACTTCGTTAAAGTGCCTCTCTCTCTCTCATGAACCTCAGGATCGGCCGCGGGAAGCCGGTGATCCAGCGCCGACGCGAGTCAGCGTCGTGGTTGGAGGTGCTGGCAGGCCAACTGGAGGGAGCAGCGCGGGCACGGTGTGAGGAGCTATCGGACCAGGGTCGCATCTGGTTGGCTGGATGTGGTCTGACCTCGGATTAGCTGTGTCCACTAACTCCCCTCGGAAACTTTGCAGATTGATCAAGAGATGGTTTGAGCCAAAATGGCTACGGAGGAAGAAGAGGAGGAGGATCAGCAGCAGCGGCAAAGAAGAGGAATTGCAGGGAAGGAGCAAGATGCAGCGAGAGGAGGAGCAAGATGACAAGGAATATGAGGAGAAGCAGAAACCATTGAACGTGGCAGCATTCCTTTAGCAAAACACGTAGCCCAAAAAAGGCGAGGAGGCTCTGAAAGCGTACGCGCGCGCGGGTATATCTTGAGTGTTCCATTATTTTCGCCCTCCATTGCTTGCAGACTCCCATGTACATCTAACACTCATCGGAGCGAGCGGATTTCGCGCACGCGGATCAATTCTAAGCGCGCGCGCGTAGGCTGGACCGGTCTGGTTCCACCTGGTCCGGTTCAGCCGAACACATCGATCCTCGATTGGTAAGGCTTCGGGCTGCGCACAGAGACGTAGCCTCGGCTGGCCTCAAGAGGCACCACGAGGAGTTCAGGGAGTTCTCAACACCTCAACCCTGGGGCGCGGAGCGCCACAGGGGCGCCGCCGGAGGCGGCGCCAGGGTGTTGAGACCGCCCCAGACCACTCGGGAGGTATGTTGAGGCCAGCTGGGACTCCTCGGGAGCCTGTTGAGGCCAACTGGGACTACCTAGAGGCGCTGTCTCTGCGCAGCCCGAAGTCTGATCATGCTGGCTGGTCTTGTCTGGTCCCACCAGGTCCGGTTCAGCTGAACACCTCCATCCTCGATCATCTGTTTCCCTCTTCGTGCCCCGCCTGAAGTTCACGCCAGTCTGCTCGCCCGCGCAGTGCAGCTCCACGAGGACAAGCCGCTCGGATGGGCAGCCCGAGACCCTTGGGGGCAGCACGCCCGGTCGCCTCTCGCCGCCAGTGGGGGGGCTGCTCAGTGAGCGGGGCGGGCGTTGGGGCCTTCGGTTGCCCAAAGACTGCCATTGGCGCCCAAAGGCCTCGATCCTCCTCCTGCATTTTGTTTCTCCTCCTCCTCCTACTCCTCCTCCCTTCTCTCTCCCACCCCTCCTCCTCCCTATCCCACACCCATGCTCCTCCTCCTCCTCCTCCACCTTCTCCCTCTCCTCCTCCAGGGAGTCGGAAGAGGATTATCTCGGCTGGACTACTAGGGCACGGGAGGGCCCCTTCACCCTCAAACAAAAAAACATGATGGATGCATGGGTGCCCCAACCTCGTGACCGAAGACGGGGGTGATGTGTGGCAGCTGCTGGCTGTCACCCCCTCCTCACCCCAATGCCCATTTCGGAGCCAATCGAACCCAAGCTGATCGGTGGCACCCCTTGCGGGGAGGCAAACGTCTTCAAGCACGGGCAAATGTCCCCCAGATATCCACCAAACAGCTGGCCGGAACAAGGTGTGAGGCACACCCACCGACAGCCCGCGACTTCAGACGAGGTGGACAACCCACCCAACGACATCCCAAATCTCACTTGCATTCTAGCTCAAACCTGTGGGGATCATGAGGGCTGCGGCGTGGGCCGTGGGCCCCATGGCAGGTTGAGGATCCTGGAGGAGGAGACCCAGGATCGAGGTCTTTGAGCGTTTGGGGGCTTTGCCTTTGGCATCCCGAGGGCCTCCTGAGGCCTCAGCGGAGGCCGCCTCCTCCCCCCCCTAAACGCGTGGGGGGGAGTGGGGGGCACGCACCTGCGAAAGGGCGGAGGTGGAAAAAGAGACGGGCGGAAGGTCAGGAGCACACAGGAGCCTGGAGCCATTCTGAACGACGGGAGGAAATTGCCGATCCTGAAATGAGGCTAACAATGCAGCGGAAACACCATTGTGAAATACCGGAAGCATTCCAGATGAAAAGCATATGGAAAACCAATGTTTGAAACCCAGTGTACAGGAAACACGAAGAGGGGGGACGTCTTCTGGACAGAGTCGGGGGAGAGGGGAGAGTAGTACTCAGATTGAGAAGCTGCAGAGGGCAAGGATGAAGGGAGAGGAGGAGGGGGGTGCGAGGGGGAAGGGAGGGGACGCAGGAGAAGACGATGGGGAGAAGAGGGGGCTGTGGAAACACAAGGGAAGGCATGGATGCGTATGTGCATGGAGAAAGGATGCGTTGCATGCCCTGGGCTCTCAGTTTCTCTGGCTTCTAGTGTCATGTGTGAGATGTGCGCGCCATATCATTTGGCTCCGTATTCGTCTACTTCTTCTCCTCCTCCTCCTCCACCTCCTCCTCCTCCCCCTCCTCCTTCCCTCCTCGTCCTCGTTCTCCTCCTCCTCCTTCCGTCCTCGCCGTCGCCATGCATCGTCATCGTCATCTTCATCGTAAGCCTCCTCGCCATCAACAACATCGTTACCACCACCCTCGTCATCATCATCAGCAGCATCATCACCATCATCAGCATCATCATCAGTAGCAGCATCATTACCATCAGCATTATCATCAGCATCACCGCCTGATGTGCGATGCGATCTTCTCGACTATTGACCATACAGTTTGCCTTCACCGCAGGTCGTGGCTTCAGGGACTCTGTATTCCAGATCAGACTCGTCACCGACATCACTACGCCCCGACTAGCCTACGGTTGTGTCCGTATTCGGATGTCTCGAAGTATGCGAATTGCTGCGAGACCTTCCAGAGTGCCGAGGCCCTGCGATTATACCTATGAAATGACGTTCCTCGAGGCGCTACGTCTAGACAGAGAACCGGGATACGTGGTGACTCGAGATGTCCTCTACGCTGACGACACATCGCTTGTGTCCCAACACAAATCAAACCTCCAGAACATGCTGAACGCAACTGTTGAAGAAGGACGCAAATACGGTTTGAAACTCAACTGTGGGAAAACAGTACACATGCATATCTCCACAAACCGCAAAAATACGACGCCTGCTGGGGATGGTATTAAGACTGTACGGGATGCTGTATACTTGGGGGGCTCAATCACATGCGAGGGGAAAGCATCCGCCGAGCTATGCAGAAGATCGGAAGAAGCCAACAAAACATTCGAGCAGCTCAACAAACTCTAGTCCAATGCATCTATAGGGTGGAAGCGAAAACACAAGGTCTACGACAGCGCTGTTCTGAGAAAGCTCTTGTACCCATTGGACTCTATGTGGCTAAAGCAAACAGATGCAGGCTCGATGCGTTTGACTGCCGCTGATTAAGACGTATATTGGGCATACAACATTAATTCTTCTCAAGGGTCAGCAACGTAAGCACTCTCAACAAGGCAGGGACCAAACAGCTTTCCGAAGTATTGCATGATAGGCAAAGTAAGCTGTTCACGAACATTGTATCACATGGGCCTAATTCTTGGGTGAGGGAACTTGTCTGCAATCACGAGGGGACGCCGACGAATTGGGCTGTCAAGCGCAGGCATCGACAACCGCGACAACAATGGGCATCTGCGGTTTACGACCTGTCGAGGAGCATCTGAAGGCAGTACGCCAAGCAGTTTCTGTATTTGTGATTCCCCCTACTCCTCGTCCTTCTTCCCTCTCCGCCCCTCCTCGCCCGTTCTCTGCTTCACAGTCGGGCGCTTGTATTCTCTGCTTCACAATCGTGATGCGCTCCGCTTCCCTGCGTTGCGTTCCACTTGCTCCGCCCAGTCACATGTTCCGTGCACGCGCTATCAATTGGCAGCGTTTTCCATGCATATCCTAAAGAGTTGCCAACCGCGCACTCTTCTTGCCCACGCATCTTTCGGGATGCTCGGCTTTGTGGTGGTGGTTATTGCACCTCCTGCCCCGACACCGAGGTCGAGAGGCGAGCCCGTGGTACCCGCCGCGGCAGCCCAGCGGCAGCCCGACCTCCCCAGCTTCGCGGACACCGCGGAGACCAGGCGTGCACCGCGGCACGCATCCCATCGTCCTCTACTTCCACGCGCTGTACCAGTCGCCCTGCCGAGGGGAAATCGGCAGCGCCGCCCGCAGTCTGCGACTGCACCACATCGCCGAGCAGGTGCTGGTGAGTTGACGGCCCCACGCTCGGCTCTCCCTTCGCTCGCGGCCGCCGCGCCGCAGTGCCCAGGACAAGGCGTCACATCGACCCCGACTTGGAGCACCAATGCTGATGACGGTTTGTGAGGGAGCAGCGCCAGCAGCTCACAGAAGCCGATCGCCAGCAGCCGCGGTGGCCGCGGCGGCGTCGGACAAGGACATCCAGACGGCCGCCAGCCAGCCCACAAGAGCAGCATGGAGACTCGGGGGCTCATCACTCCAGTCGTCGCATGGTGGGGACGGTTGATCGCCCATCGGGCCGCCACACAGGCAGCCGACCCCAGCGGCCCTGAGCTCGGCGGCGACGCCAGCGGCCCAGGCCGAGACATCGGAGCCAGCAGCGGGCGCCGCGCCTCAGCGCCGCCGGCGCGGAGGCAAGCGCAACAGCCACTCTTCTAGCGAGGTCCAGACGCTGCGCGAGGGCGACGAGTCGCAGAAGGCCAAGCTCACGACTCTCGGATCGCCGACGGCCTCGCTCGTGGTGGCCTCGGTCGAGGCGCTCACCAGGTGCGACATCGACGTCGCGAACAAGAAGATCCTCGACGCGTGGCTGGACAAGGCCAACGGACCCCCCGAGGACAACACGACGATCACCAAGACAGACATCGAGGACGCGGTCTGCTTCACCAGGCTCGAGAAGAGACATGAGACAAACAAACGCACAGATTCTCTTCGCCATGCACGTGTGGGGCCAGCGCCCGCACATCCTCGCAGCGCTTCGCTGCGAAGACTCGGCTAACATCCACACGGGCGTGATGCCAGCGGGATGGCTCGCGGAGGAGCTCTCGACGTGGCTGGAGGCGCTCGTGCATGAGACGAGCTCCCTTCGGACATGATCTGAATGCGCCCGTGCTGCCACTGCTGCGTAGCCCCGGTGCACCAGCAACTGCAGCATCACCAGCACCTGCGTCCGTTCCATCATGATCTTCATCATGGTACCAGACTTCAGCATCATCATCAGCCTCCTCATCATCGTCATGATCATTAGCAGTACACTCAAAACTTGTGTTAAGAAATCTTCTGTTAAGAAATTGAGACCCAGCTTCGATGGATTTCTTAACTCCGGTGCGAGACCCAACTTTGGCCCCAGAATTTCTTAACGAATCTGGTGTTGCACTGCGACCACCGGCACGGCCAACCTGCACGACCATCCAGCACGACCACCCGGCAAGGCTACCAGCACGACAACCAGCGCGACCACCCAGCACGACCATCCCCCGAGCACGACCACCAGCACGACCAGCCACCAATACGATCACCAGCACCACCACCAGCACGACCACTGGCACAACTCCCAGGACGAGCAGCCGCACGACCACCTGGACGACCACCTGCACGACCACAAGCACAACCACCAGACGACCACCAGCACGACTACTGGCATAACCCCCAGCATGACCAGCCGCACCCCCAGCGCTACTAACCACCAGCACGACTGCCAGCACGACCAACGACCAGCAGGACCACCGCACAACTACCCCCAGGACCACCTGCTCGACCACCCAGCATGACCCACCATGACCTAGGTAGTGCTAGGGGTTGTGAGGCTGCGTGGGGGGTTGTGCTGGGGGGTTGTGCTTGGGGGTTGTGCTGGGGGTTGTGCTGAGAGGTAGTGCTAGGGGTTGTGAGGCTGCGTGGGGGGTTGTGCTGGGGGGTGTGCTGGGGGTGCTGAGTAGTGCTAGGGTTGTGAGGCTGCGTGGGGGGTTGTGCTGGGGGGTTGTGCTTGGGGGTTTGCTGGGGGTTGTGCTTGTAGGCTGCTGGGGGTGCTTAGTGGGTTGTGCGTGGGGGGTTGTGCTGGGGGGATTGTGCTGGGGGTTGTGCTGAGAGGTAGTGCTAGGGGTTGTGAGGCTGCGTGGGGGGTTGTGCTGGGGGGTTGTGCTTGGGGGTTGTGCTGGGGGTTGTGC